GCTGAGCAGTCGGGACTATGTCCCAGCCCCATAATAATTTATAGTATCTACCTGGTATTTAAGAATACAATAAAGCTATTCTGGCTTCTCTTACATATCTTTGGGTACCACAGAAATCACATTTAATTATTTTTTTCACTTAAGAGTCCTGAAGAATTCTCAAAGCAATCATCAGCCTCCCCATCCACAGCCTTCTCCTCGTCAAGCTTAAACGTTGTCAGTTTTTATAGTCATCTCCCCTGTGGCTTGCTTCTGTGATCCTGGTCACTATAATCAGGACAAAGTCCAAAGTGAGTCTGTTCCCCCTTCTCCCCCCCCCCCCCCCACCCCTCCCACACACACAGGATGGTTTCCTCAACTCAATACAGTCTTCCACTTTCATGTCCATGGAACATCCCAGCCTGGAGTCGTTCCTATAGTTCGACTCTTCTGTTTCCTCTAGGCCATGGTGATGGATAATGGAAAAGAGGACGTCCTGAATTAACAAGATCTTTATATGTGGTTAATCCTGGGCTGGAAAATGCCTTTACTTTGGTCTCCTTTCAGCCCTTGCCTGCCTATCCTTTGGCCCAGCCCCTTGGTGGAGAGTAGTCCACACAGCCTTGCTGGAAGGGCATGCCTTTTCCCTCCTGTCCTCCACTACCAGGGGAATTAGCATGAAAAAGTATGCACATTCCAGTTCTATAACTGTATTCTGTTCCAGCCTTTTGTCACTTTCTCTGTCCCCACCCCCACCTCACTTAACAAAAGTTGAATATTGTGACATCACAACCCTGGGCTATTCTCTCCACAGCTGTGATGTCACACAGGGAGGATTTTGACTCCTGGGAGGAATGGGAGTTGGGGAGTTTATCAGGCGAGAAACCCCTGGAGAACAAAGAAGTTATTTTGATGCAAATTTTCACCCAGAAAGCCTCCTTGGCCTTTCAGTGCCCAGGCTGTCAGTGGGAATGCTCCCCCCCCCATTCCCATCGCTCCTGCTTTGGGTGGATGAATAGTTTGGCTGTGGACACTGACTCACTGAGTCTGAGCATGTGTGGATGGCTTCCACTGACTCTAAGGCTTCTGGGCTAGCTGTTTTATTCATGAGCTCGGTGCTGAATAGAACTCAGGGAGGGAGTTCAGATGAGAGTCTGGGAGCATGAGGCAGATGTGCACTGCCTCTGGGCCCAGAGAGAGAGAGAGTGCCAGCGGGGCAGCTGTGACTTTGGTGCTCTGGGTGGTGGAAGTATGCAGTCGAGCTGAGAACTCACTGCCTCCCAGCCCTCGGCAGTGAATGGCAGCCCCTGCCAGCTCTCTCCTGTGAAACACACCTACTGCAGAGGTTTCCACATCCTCAGTGTGTGGTCCCTTGGTAAGTTTGCAGAGTTCCCACAGGCCAAGAGAAATAACTAAGTTTTATTAAGTAGTTATAGCCAAACAACTTGGTACTTACATCCTAAGAGCCCTTTGAAAATTATATACACATAAATTGAAAGGAAAAGTACTTTTATTTCATTCTTAACATGAACATGAGCAACTAACGGTTCTAAGTTATGTGATGCGTCAGGCACTGCATCATGCCTTACATTTTGGAATCTAGTTGAGTACTGCCATCGTTATTTCCGGTGCTACACCACATTTTACAAAACATTTGCTTTTTTTTATTTTTTATTTTTTAATCACAGAAACTGGTGAAAACGCAGCTTCAACAAGAAATGACACTACCACAAAGAACCTAATGCAATCTAATGCTAAAATTGTGGATTGGTAGAGTACCTGATAAATATTTGGTTTTATTCTGTTTCCCTGATATTTCAAAAAAAATTTGAAATATCTTGCTGTGCCCTTGTGAGTTCCTGGCAGTGCTCAGGGCACGTCAGCATACAGTTTGAGAAGCAAAATCTGAATTTGCCAAGTAGTACTTGGCTTTGTTGAAAAGAGCAAGAGAGGCTGATTCTGCCCCCATCGTGGCCCTTTGAGAAGTTAACTATGTAGAGCATAGGCTCTCTTTCTGCAGCCTGCTCCAGCCGACCTTTGCCCAAGTCCCCCGGTGGGGAAAAATGATGAGGAAAAAGGTCTGAAGAGCTCTCAAGAAAAGAGTGTCCTGTATTTATTAACCTTGTGTTGGTTCAGGACCCCCTGAGCTAAATGGTTCAAAGAAAAATAGTTTTAATACTAAGAAGTTGGGGGCGCTGGCAAGGTTCTCTGCCAATATTCTTTTCCAATTCTATCCAGATGGAGTTGGGGTGCAGGGGTGTGCTTGTGACGGAGGCTGACTTCCTACCGAGGATGTGATGGAAACCAAAGGACTAGTGTGTGGTAACCATCCCAGAGATCAGTGCTGGCTTCCCCAGACTCTGGGCTTTGCCACTTCCTATAAAACCTCTGGGTATATTACTTAACTTGAACCACAGTTTCTAAAGCCGCGAAATAGAGAGATTAACAGCTAGGTTCAAGGAAATAAATGTATATGAAGAACCAACGGAGCGTACTGATGTGGCCTTTTTTTGGTTTGTTTTCAGAGCTGAGCAACAAAGGGCTTTTCTCCAACAGGAAATTCAGATCTAATGATCTGGCCAAGGTCTGCAGTTTGAGAGTTTCTTGATGCTTTCTGATATCTTGGCTTTCATGCCTCATGCTCTCAAATCTAAGCCCTGTAGCTTGGGTACTTACATTGTAGACCCCTTCTCATTCTCTAAAATGGTTTTTGTGAAGGGTGGGCATTTGGGCCATATCCAGTGGTGCTCAAGAGATATTCCTGGCTTTGTACTCAGTAAATCCTGGCGGTGCTTCTGGGGACCATATATGATATTGGGGATTGAACTGAGGTAGTCACGTGCAAGACAAGAGCTTTGTCCCCTGAGCTATTTCTCCAGCTATGAAATGGCATTTTTAGAACAAGCAACATCTTTTTTTAAGTGTTATCCATTATGGTTGTCCTTACGGCTTTGTGTGGGAGCGAATGTCCTGGTTTGGTTTGGTTTTGAATTTTTGCAGTCTTCTTTTATTTACTTCTTTTCAGTGTAGTTGAGATAACAGGGTTACACTGGTGGTGATGTTTAGGCTTTGGGTATACAGGTTATTATGCCTCCACCACCATCAAAATGCCAGTGATCTGCCACTGTCCTTATGTCACTTCTAGTCTGCCTTTTTTTTTACTTGATCCTTAACTCTTTCACCCTCCCATTGCAGCCTCACTTCTGTAGTTAAAGGCCAAGTATTTATTATCATTGGATTCTGTCCATTCCCTTGCTTTCTTTTCCTGCCACATGTGAGCGAGATAGCCTGGCATTTGTCTTTCCTCTGACTTACTTTAACTGAACCCTTTTAATTCTACCCAAGTTGTAGCAAAAGACAGGATTTCTTCTTTACTTATAGCTGAGTAGGATTCTATTATATACATACAGTACAGTTTCTTTTTTTTTTTTTTTTGCTTTTTTTGGGGGTCACACCCGGCGATGCTGGGGGGTTACTCCTGGCTCTGCACTCAGGAATTACCCCTGGCGGTGCTCAGGGGGACCATATGGGATGCTAGGAATCAAACCTGGATTGGCCCAGTGCAAGGCAAACGCCCTACCCGCTGTACTATTGCTCTAGTCTGCACTACAGTTTCTTTACTCACTCATCTGTCATTGGAAATTTGAGTGGGTTTTCTTCTTGGCTTTTAGCAATGGCACTGCAATGAACATAGGTGTGTATATCTCTTTTTAATCTCTGTAATGTTGTTCTTAGGATAGATTCCTCCAAGGTGTGGGATCACTGGGTTCTTTTTTTTTGGTCCTGTTTCAGAAATATTAAGGCCTCCTTCCCTTTGGCTTGTGTATTTTCTTCTGCTTTTAAAGTTGTGTCTTTTGGGGCCTGGACAGGTAGCTCAAAGGGCTGAGTCTTGTCTTTTATCCCTGGCCTTTCATGGTCCCAAAAGTTCAATAAGGAGTGACCCATGAGCATAAAGCTGGGAGCAGGTGAAAAAAAATCTGCCTTCATTATCTTCTTCAGGTCCTAAGAGATTCAGCCCAATGTCCCATCCTATCCCTTTCAGTGACCCTCCTAACATTCATCCTGTTTAGGTGTTTTTCTCCTTGCTGCCAAAGCTCTATATTCAGACTCCCATCACAGTTTAAATTAATGTACCTGACTGGATCTCAATTTGCCTATCAAGGATAACGGCTAGAAGGGGGCTGATTGGGATGATGCCATCAAAGGATTCAAGTATGTAAACAAGGGCCCAGAGTGATAGGACAGGATAATGTGGCTAAGCTTGTTTGATCCCCAGAGCCACATACTGACCCCAAGCACTGTCAGGGGTCACTCCTGACTACAGAACTGCAGATAGCCATTTAGCACTGCCAGGTATGCCCTCCCTGCAAAATAAAAGTAAACATGGGAAAATCTTAAATGCCTTGAGGCTGTGGAGAGGTAGTATAGCAGGTAGGGCACTTGTCTTGCACACAGCCAGCCCGGGTTCGATCCCCAGCATTCCATATCCTCTGAGCACCACCAGGAGTAACCCCTGAGCAGTGCCAGGTAGGTGACCCCAAAAACAAACAGAAAACGTTAGGTGCCCATAACCAAGATAGGTGCCTTTTCCAGCTTCTCTTTATTTCTTTACAGTGTTTCCCTCGACTTGTGCCCCATTTTGATAAACACAAAGATCTTCCAGAGAGATAATCAGATGTTCCCCGCAGGGAGTGTGCTCAGACTGCATTGCTTCAGGGAGGACTAATCGCTGGTGTCCAGGGAAGGGCCTGCGGCCCAGTAAGCCCCAGAGAAAGGAACTTTGTGTTTCCTAATAGGACAGATATTGTAATCTTTGCAGAGAGCAATTTTGTTTGAGTTCTTGGGCTGGTGACGCAATACCCTGGATCTCTCGGATGCTTGAAGGTCAGGGCCCTTTTCTGAATTTCCTGAGTGGGGGTGGTTACTACGGGCAGGTCAGACTGAACTAGGAAGACACATGACTAGGCAGCTCCGCCGGGAAAATGCAGCCCAGAGCTGGTCCCCACTGCCCAGGGAGGCCACTGTGAGCGTGTAGTTCATGTTTTCATTGAAAAGAATATTGCTGAGGCCCCTCCGAGTCCCTGTCCTCCACCCGTCCGCCGTCTGCCGCTGCAGCCTCCAGCCCCGGGCCGACCGTCAGCCTCCGGATTGACCTCGTGAGGCCCCGCCGTGCCCCCTGACCGTTCCTTGGCCGGGTCACTCCCTGCGTGAGCCCGGGCTCGCCGCTGTTATGAACATCCGCAGTGCCGGGCCGGACGACCTGCTGAACATGCAGCATTGCAACCTGCTGTGCCTGCCCGAGAACTACCAGATGAAGTACTACTTCTACCACGGCCTGTCCTGGCCGCAGCTCTCCTACGTGGCCGAGGATGAGGATGGCCGGATTGTGGGCTACATCCTGGCCAAGATGGAGGAGGACCCCGAGGATGCCCCCCATGGACACATCACCTCGCTGGCCGTGCAGCGTACGCACCGGCGCCTGGGTCTGGCCCAGAAGCTCATGGAGCAGGCCTCGCGGGCCATGGTGGAGAACTTCGGCGCCAGGTACGTGTCCCTGCACGTGCGCAAGAGTAACCGGGCCGCCCTGCACCTCTATTCCAGCACGCTCGGCTTCCAGGTCAGCGAGGTGGAGTCCAAGTACTATGCCGACGGGGAGGACGCCTTTGCCATGAAGCGGGACCTCTCGCAGATGGCAGACGAGCTCAGACGGCAGCAGGAGCTGAAGGAGAAGGGTGGCTGCGTGGGGCCGGGGCGCAGGGAGGCCCCTGAGATCCAGAGCACCCCGCCGGCAGCAGCTGAGCAGAGCATCCCCCAGGAGGCGAAGAGCTCCCCCGTGCACCGCATTGGCCGTGACAGCAAGGAACCGTGCGGGTCCACGAAGAGCACCAACATCCCAGACAGCTGCTAAGAGTCCCATTGCACTTCCTGGAGCCTGCCCCAGCTTTGCCCGTCTTCGTGTCCCAGCCTAGCTGTGTCAGCTCTCGGAGCCCTGGCGAAGCCTGTCTGTCCTGCAGGGTTTGCCCTGGGAACAGCACACAGCAATTCCTGTCGTTCCTCATGCTTCTCTCCCGACAGCTTCCCACTACCCTGCTGGGCTCATGAGTGAGCACCTGGACGTGAATCCTGCTTCATAGCAACCAGGAAGGTTTGAGGCCTGCCATCACCCGAACTTTCCTTGGTCCGCTTACACCACACTGCCCTTTGATTCTGTTTGTAGTAGTCCTGGGTGTGGTTGGCTTGCTCGGTTGTCTCTTCCTGGAATGCCAGCTAAGAAGTAGGGCAGATTCTCTCGGCTCCTTTGTTTTCTGCTTTGGTCATTATTGTCTGGGTTTTCTGTCTTAGAAGGGATGGTGAGGACCAGCAAGTTAACCCTCGTTTCTGCTTTCTCCTCGTTCTTCTAATTTTCTTTTTGTAAAAATATTTTATTTCCTCTTTTTTGTCTTACTAGTCTTTTTTCCTCTGGGAACTCACCTCTCTTTTGGGGGGAGGTGTTTCCTTCTACCCAGTGGGAGAAAGTGGTAAAGACTTCTACTTACAAAAATTAAAAAAGAAAAAACGAAGGAAAGAAAGAAAAGGTATTGTTGAGCGGCTTCTGTATTCCAGGGACTGTTCTAGGCAGTTGGGATACAACTGAGAATAAAGCATAAAAATACCTAGATTCATGGAGGGGGGATCGGGGTGGGAGGGATACTGGGATCCATGGTGGTAGAAAATGGGCACTGGTGGAGGGATGGGTATTTGATCATTGTATAATCGAAACTCAAGCACAAAAATTTGTAAGTTTACAACTGTACCTCATGGTGTTTCACTAATTAAAAATTTAAAAAAATACCTAGATTCATGGAGCTTTTAGAAATCTAACAAAGGACAGGAGAGATTGTATACTCACTTTGACTGCTTGCAACTGACCTGGGTTCAGTTCCTAGTACTTTCCAGAAATAGCCCCTGAGCACTGCCAGGAGTGGCCCTAAAACCCAAGTCCCCCACCTAAGGAAATACAATAACTAGGAAATGAAAGGTGTATCTTGATAATAACTGCAGTGGAGAAAAATAAAACACAGGGGAAACAGGAGTGCTGGAGGAGAGCTGAAGGCCCTGAGGAAGGGATGTGCCCAATGTATTTGAGGAGATAGTAAGACCAAGTGGCTGGTGTGGAGAGAGAAGGGGAAAGAATAGAGGGTCATTGTGACTGGGATGGTGCAGAGCCTGGAAAATCATTATAAAAATTGTGGTGAATCATTGAAAAGTTGTAGTTTTTACTGGGAGTGATTGGAGCCATGTCAGGGTGTTGAGCAGGGAAGTAAATTCTGCTCTGATTTGGATGGGGGTGAAGTATAGCCTGTGATCCTTTCTTAAGGGTCTATCTGATTCTATTTTCTGAGTGAAGTTGGGAGCAAATGCACCTAGAAGAGTGATGATGGAGGTAGATCATAGCATCGTCCCAGAGTCTTGGAGCTTGTTCTCTCTTTCTTTTGAGTGTTCTTTATTTACGTACTGTTAATAGATGGCTTCTTACTGGTCTTCATGTTCTCATTAGACACTTGAGGGCTGCTCTCTCTGCTATAGTGAGAAACACAGAAGTATGGAGACGTGCTCAGTCCTTTTAGTCCCTACTGTTTCCTAGTTTTCTTATGAGAAAGTCATGGATTTTTGTAGAGCAGGGGAAGAATATTACCACCAGTTAGGTTTGACTGAACTAAACTAGAGAGCATGGGAGAGATGATGATTGAGTCAAGAATTAGGATCAGAGATAAGTACCAGGAGGTTCACTCCATGGCTTGGAGACCAGCCGCACATGCTAGGGGAAAAGGCAGCTCAGATAGAAAAGGGAGCACCAAATAAAGGGTGTTGGGAGGATCCTCCCGGGATGGGAGGTGCGTGCTGAAAGTAGACTGTAGACCAAGCATGATTGCCTCTCAGTGCCTCTTTTGCAAACCACAGCACCCAAAAGTAGAGAGGGAACAAAGGGGAATACTCTGCCACAAAGGCAGGGTGGGATGGGGAGGATGGGGGGTGGGAGGGGTACTGGAATCAGTGGTGGATGGGCAGTGGTGGAGGGATGGGTACTCGATCATTGTATAATTGAAACCCAAGAACAAAAATTTGTAAGTCTACAACTGTACCTCAAGGTGTTTCACTAAAAAAAAAAATTAATTAATTAAAAAATAATTAGGATCAGGAAAGACTGTAGAAATAAGTTGATGTTTAGAAAGATAGCGGGTGGGGATAGCAAGAAAGAATTGATTGAACAAAAACTTGGGGCTATGAGTATTTTTGGTATTCATGGCAGGAAGTGGGGACTAGCGTGCCTTGTGGGCCAGAGGAAGGCGCTGGTGTGAGGTTGGACTCCATGCCTCGGAGTCATCATCATTACGAGACTCACCAACCTCTTCTTGCTGATGTCGAAGAACGCAGTGGTTATTTCCCCAGGAATGGGGTTCTTGGTGGTAGAAGCTTTTGTTCTGCCTTCTGTTTTTTATAATTATTTTTATTTGGAGGTAGGAGTATCCCAAGAACCCCTGAGCATCATTCCTAGAGATGCTCAGCCAACTGAGCAGATGGTTCAGTGCTCAGGTCTGGTGGCCTGGTGCTGCTCAGTGGTGTTTGGGGGACGGTGCAGTGCTGAGGCTCAAACTCAGGACATTGTGGAGTCTGGTCAGGACATTGTGGACTCTAGTCCTTTGTGTTTCTACTTACCCCCTATTCTAAGAGTGGGTACCAACATCCTGGAAGAGCTTTGTTAGGGCGTTTGCTGAGAAGCTGAGTATCCAGGCTGGCAGGAACAGCTATGGTGAAGTATTAAAACTATCTTGGGCTTGGAGCAGAAAAGCAAATGGACTTGTGTTGATCCGCGCCACCAAGCCTGCCCGGAGGGGGAAGGGCGTTGACCGGCCCGCCCGCTCCTCTCTGGAAAGAAAGATGGCGGCCGCACGGGAGCCTTGTGGAAAGCGGGTTTGAGCCGGGCTCGGGGAAGCGGCGGGGACCTCATGGGAAGGGGGGCTTTGTGGGCCGTCCCCCACGCCCCACCGAGGTCGCCAGCTGCCCCCCACGAGCGGCTCTCCGGCACGGCCACGACTCCAGGGCACAGAAATCAATCTCTTAACTAGCTAACTTTTAATAGAAATTCTTCCAGGGTCAATAAGTAAAATAGCAGAAATTCAAAACCGCGCGGCCGCTATCGAGGCTGCGTGACATCATTTTATTCTTAAACCAAGTTGTAGAAAGCAAATCATTTCACAACGCTGTTTCAGCATGTCTGATTGGGGGGGGTGGGGTGGGTCGTAAACTCTAAACAATAATTGTGCATCTTCTATCGAAATAATCTATCTAGTCAAAGTAGATAGAGTATTAACTAGAACTCATCTGCCTCATAAGAATTGGGAGGGGTGGGAGGTGGGGGTCTATTGGGGTTCGGGGTTAAAAATGAGTATTGGTAAAGGGAAATGTGTTCGGTATCTACATGACTGAGATCTAAACCCGAAAGCTCTGTAACTTTTCCCACAGTGATTCAATAAATAAATAAATTATTAAAAAAAAAAAAAAAAAAAACTATCTTGGAAGCAACCAGATTTCATTTGGCCTGGAATTGCCTAACAAACTCTCACCCCATTTCAGGCTTTCAGGAAACATTTAATGCCAACTCCAATCCACCACGGAATCTGTACTGAAGTGGAGAAGGAGCATCTGGCAGGAAAAGGGATTGAAAATGGTTGAGACTGAAACCCCAAACTTACAGAGCTTTCTTTGAGGAGGAGAGTTGGGAAAGAGGATGTGGGAGTGATAAGTGGACAGGAAAGAGTTCTTAAGTTTTTCTCATTATTATTCAATAACAAGAACAAAAAAAAATCTTCCCTCCCTTCCCACCCCATGATTGAAGAGGATTCCAGCCTAATAGGAATCTCTAAAAAACACCCAGGAATTCTGACTTCCCAGCAAAACAAATCTTGGTTCTACTTGACCAGCACATAATCTCCTTTACTCTCTTGCCTGAAGGACTTTTAAGATCTAGAATTCCGGTAGTTGGGGGCTGGTATGAAAAAGATCCCAAGAACTATAGAGAAGCAGTGATGGAAAACAGGGGTCTTCGATTTTAGAGGGAATTATGAGGTGGTCTTGAGGAAATTCTTGCTGGTCCCCTTTTTAAAGCTCTTGTTCACCCACCCAGCTTTTCAAGCTCAGTTCTCCCCCTTTCGTTTTCAACCCCTGGCTTTTAGTCACAGCAGAAAGATAAGGTTTTGGGTAAATAGCCAGAGAAAAATCAAGCTGAAAAGGAGACAGTGGAGAAGGGTGAGGGGGGAGATGCTCTCTTACTCTCTCTCTCTCTCTCTCTCTCTCTTTCTCTCTCTCTCTCTCTCTCTCTCACACACACACACACACACACACACACACACACACACACACGGAGGCAAGTTTCCCAGGACCAGCCTTTGCTCCTGGGTGTGTTGGATGAGAATTTGGTACTCCAGCACCCTGCTGAGAAGACAATAGGGACTCTTTTGAGGAAACTCAGAGCCCAGAGTTTAACAAAATGGGGTGAGGAGTAGGAAGAAAGAAAGACCTGCCACTGGCAGCTCATCTGTGTGGCAGCTACGGTCCAAGAAAACCCCCTTTGAGGGAGGCATTTTATAGTAGCTGCCACTTTTGGAAGAGAAGGAACACACTTGGAGAAAACCAGTGCTGAAATTTCTAGGGTCCTTTGTCAGCATATCCTGGTCCTTGTCTCCTTAGAAGCCCTCTTTTATCATCAGTTATGTCAGGTGACATTTATTGGAACACCATTTTGTGTTTCTCAGAACTCTTTGCTCAGTGCTGAGTATTGTTCGAAGAATGGAGAACCTGCCAGCACTGTCCTCCAGCTGCGCCAGCCATGTTGGGATGGGAGGCCTGTCTGTCAGGAGACAAGTGGGCTGGCAGAATGTCCCAGGAACTCTAGAAGTGAGTCCTGGCAGAGCTGGAAGATATCATGGAGAGTATCATGCTGAGTGAAATGAGTCACAGGGAGAGAGACAAATATAGAATGATTGCTCTCATTTGCGGGATAGAAACAAACCCATAGGGGGTATGGTGCCGCCAGCAGGTCAATCTGTACCTGTGAGGCGAGTGCATCAGCAGCCTCATGGCGCCTTCAGACTTCCAGATACCCCAAAATTGCTGCTGTGCCTTTGGCCAGACCCCAAAAACTTGGGGCAAAGTTTACCAAGAAAGTAAACGGCCAAAAGTTAGGTCTGTGGGAAACACACCCACAAACCACCTCCGGCTCAGCTGTATAATTGGAGGCAGGGCCTCTCTGGTTCCTGATTGAACTGCTTAATGGACATGATCCCAGAGACTCAGAAATGAATCTCGGAACCCAGTGGCTTTAGGTAGAAATGCGTCTGGTCTCTGCAGTAGGCTACCGGTGCTGGACCAACCCAGGTGGGAATAGGTTTCGTGCCTTGGCCTGTTCCCCCTGGCGGCCCAGTGGCTGCCATCCGTCTGAGGCCACTGGATAGTCACATTTGGGCCCCCAGTGACAAGACACACAGGGCCTCACGGGATGGGGGTGGAGCCGGGCCTGTCCTCCCCACCCCAACAAGACCCCAAGTCATCACCCATGAACGGCCTCTCTGGCTCCTCATCAAGCTGCTCAACGACCT